CCGGGGAAACGCATTGTTTAGTAGATGTCACGCCAACCCCTATGAAGAGGGGAGGGAGAATCAGTGGAGACCATCTTTCCTATGGAGATACTGACAGGTCATTGGTCACGCCTCCTTTGGATAGACGAGTGAGTGAGTGGAGGCCTCCCCGCACTTGTACTTGTGTGCTCAGTTTAGAATGTCGGTGGAGCGTGGGGAGAGGCGAGGTCGTCCCTCAGCTGCGGGTGTTCCATGTTGTGGGATCCGACGCATGCGCTATGTCTGTTTTCGTATGCGCTCCTGGTCTTCAAACAGCATCGTCTGCGCGCAATCCCTGTGTCCTCATCCGTCAGGCGCCGATAACAGTGGTAGATGGGCTCTGGCGGTTTTCACTCTCGTCCAGGGTTTCGTGTAACATGGACCTGATCTGAAGTCGGAAACCCGTCGAACTGGGGCGAGTTGAGTTTTACGTGTCAGCCAGACCCGGCGACTTATGCATGCCTCTGACATTCTTGATTTAATTTTTCTTCTACCTGTGAAGGACGTAAAGCACCTCGTCAGTTTTTGCCTGGCAGCTGAACTGATCTGATTTCCTGAGGGGGTGCTATGTAGGGGCCTGCCTGCGCCGGCGCCGCCCCCGCAGGTGATGTATGGCGACGATACCATCACCACCAGCTCAGCTATTTCTGTCGGTCAGGTGGAATTCCAGGAGCAAATGGAGTGATTTCTTTACTTCCACACCCCAGGCGGTTGAAAATGAATCGACCTTAAGCCAAGATTGCTCGAGGACTTCGGTGTAAATGTGATATCAGATCCCATGAATCCGGATCCCCACACCAAGACCTTTAGACCGGCGTGAGGAAACCTATAATATTTTATCTGCAACTTTACTGGAGGGCATACCATGTAACCGTGGCCGCATAACCGTGTGTTCAACTGCACGTCTGGCACGGCAACCGTCAGCTGTTTGTCGGAATGTCGCCGCTATGGGTTGTCAGCGTGGCCAGAGGCGGGCGAGTGAGGAGCTCGCGGCCGGCGGAAGGCGAGTGAGGAGCTCCCGACCCGGGACGGGGGAGGGAGCAGCTCTCGGCCAGAGGCGGGCGAGTGAGGAGCTCGCGGCCGGCGGAAGGCGAGTGAGGAGCTCCCGACCCGGGACGGGGGAGGGAGCAGCTCTCGGCCAGAGGCGGGCGAGTGAGGAGCTCTCGGCCGGCGGAAGGCGAGTGAGGAGCTCCCGGCCGGAGACGGGGGAGGGAGCAGCCCCCGACTGGAGGCAGCGGAAGGAGGAGCTTTCGGCCGGGGAAGGCGAGTGAGGAGCTCCCGGCCGGAGGTGAACAAGTGAGGAGCTCCCGGCCGGAACCGGGCGAGTGAGGAGCTCTCGGCTGGCGGAAGGCGAGTAGGGAGCTCCCGGCCGGAGGTGAACGAGTGAGGAGCTCTCGGCCAGAGGCGGGCGAGTGAGGAGCTCTCGGCCAGAGGCGGGGGAGTGAAGAGCTCCCGGCCGGTGGAAGGCGAGTGAGGAGCTCCCGGCCGGAGACGGGGGAGGGAGCAGCCCCCGACTGGAGGCAGCGGAAGGAGGAGCTTTCGGCCGGGGAAGGCGAGTGAGGAGCTCCCGGCCGGAGGTGAGCGAGTGAAGAGTTCCCGGCCGGTGAGCGAGTGAGGAGTTCCCAGCCGGAGGCGGACGAGTGAGAAGCTCCTGACCGGAGGCGGGGAGGGAGAAGCTCCTGGTCAGCTTAGGCCCACCACGTTGGTAGTCCCGGGTTCCGGCTATCGTGGCTGAGTCTGCGGCGGCTCTGGACTTCTCAGATGTTGGAGAACATCGCGACGTCACGTAAGAGTAACGCGTCATAAATATGCAGCAGACGTCAGAAACAGCACCGCAACAAACGGTACCGGACATCGCGGACAAGATCGGGGCTCGCTAACCATTCGAGCTCATTCCCGGAGTGATCTGCGGGTTTTTCTGCTCGCGCTCAAAGCCGTGGATCCTTATTCATTTCAGCCACACAGTTGCGGGAGGCCGCTCAGTGCTGCTCAAGTTCATAAGCGACGTATTATGGCATCAGGCCACTCGTAAATCGTTCTTTCTCAACAATCTGTCAAAAGTGTTCTTCCGATTTCGCCGGCATAATGACTGTTAGGGTCATGAATCACAATACGTACTCCCGCTCGGACTCAGCTTAGTCACAAAGGCGCAATATATGGGCCATTAAACATGCGATGTCGTCACTGCCGACGATTTATGAATGGTCTCGTAGCTCGTGTAATGCTGTGCATAAACAGCGCATTTTCATATGGCTGGAACCAGGCGGGTGTCGGCCTCCATAAAGACGCGCTTACAAATCCATCGACTCCATAGCATGCCCGGGTCCAAACGTGGCTGCAACATCACTGCGCAAAACCAACCCTTGCAAACGCCGTACCTCGCATTGGTCACTTTACTTTTCATTTGCTACAAATCCATCCCTTTTCCCGAGACAACGCAGGAGACTTCTTAGTGATGTTCGAGTATTGAAGCGGTACGTTTTGCAGGTCTGCGGTGCGGTGCCGGTGTCCGTGTTCTCTTGGGGCGTTTCAGGGGATTTGAATGTACTAAAAATATGTTAATTTGGTATTGCTGACATGTATTTTTGTGTGCATTTCAGGCGGCGCGGTTCAGACGGCCAGGTGTACTGCTCCAGACATGTGCCGGTGCACCCGGAGGAATACAAGGTCGGTTACGAATGCCTGCTATAAACGAGTACTATACAGCTGTCCGTCCTTTCCTCCGGCATAACTGACTCGGTCAGATTTCGCGCTCAAAATGAGTAGCGGAGTCAACATGGGACAGTGGCGGCACGAGGTATTGAACCAGCTAGCTGCGTGGGAAACCGTAGGGAACGGTACTCGTCACAGCCTGTCATGGATACAGGAGCTGCGCAAGGCGCTGTTTTGTCCTCGGGAACTGCGTGTGTCTCGACTGCGATCTGACAATCTCACGTGTGTAGTTCGTCGGTGTCTTCATCTAGTTTTCGCACGGCTGCAATGCATGCTAAGACCAGAACGTTCTCAGAACCTGCCCACAATGAGTTATAGCTGCGTTTATGTCACAAGTGGGTGTTGCCAGGCTGTCTTTAGCAAGATTTAGCAGAAACCAATTATGTTGTCCGCGGTGATTCATGTGTTAAGCGCGCTTGGCATTGATATATGTATATCAGGGGAGTTCGAGGACGCTGCTCAGAACGCATTCTTTTTTTTAGATATTACGTTGGTATAGAATCGATAAAGAAATCTTATGCGAGATATTGTCCGAACTTTTTGATTGGATGGATTTTCGGGATCAGTGCCCACGCAAAGCAGCGTGTGCTGCGTAAACCTTGACCCCACCATCCCATCGTGAAATTCCAGGTCAGCGGTAAAATTTCGCGGGAAAACTTAGCGTGCCGCAATGCTCGTCAGGGTCCGTTACGCCCTCCGGCGTCACCTGACCTTTAGCGTAGCCGCTGTCGCAGGCAGCTGGCCCATCTCAGCCAGGGGCAAATAGCGACCGCCTGAAGCGGCTCGACCGACCCGGCCTCGTGTGGGTGAATCAGAAAACAAGCGCCATAACCAACTGAACTCCTTAGACTTGTATAATGGTGCTACAGTTCAAATACGCGACGATTTGGGGGACGGGGGAAATTAAGTGCAGGACCTCAGACCCCAATATGATTAAAACAATCCCCTTAATCAGTGGGTGCCTTTTCAGCTGTAACTTTCGCCTATTAATGGATAACATGTTCTACCCAAAATTAGATAAGCCGGTTCGATTCCCTGTGCAAGAATCTGTCGCTGCTTTCGGTTTGTACCAGTGCCGAGGCATCACTGTAATGATCTCTCCAGTTAACCATGCTCCAATACGACCCACTGATAAGTGCCATCATTGAAGATAAGTGTGCGTATGCGATAGACCATCCGTTTTATGAGCCTTTTTCCTGCTGTTCCTTGGTGGATTAGGATCCACGAGGCCCTAACCATGATAGCTCTTCTTCTGGCCAGACCGTGAATTCCGCAGGCCTCAATGCCGCGTCGGGACGCATCACCGACCGACGCGGCCTCGCTTGGCCGGCATCCGAATAACAAGGCCGCCTCCCTGATCAGACCACCCACGGCGCTGCCGCCTCTCGCTGGGTGACCGGGCCATCGCTGCGGGGCACTGGGAAACTGGCCGGTCTGCGGTCCGACACCAGGGCACCAGCGGACCAGCAGACCCGCAGTCCGGCACCCACGCCACAGCAGAGCAGCGGGACCGCGGTCCGCTGCGTGAGGGGCACGCGGCCTCCGGTCCGCTGGCTCCGGTCCGCCAGCCGGTCCGGTCCGCCTGTGGTGTCGGTCGCTGTAGTCGGATGTCCCGCTGGCGGGGTGGTGCTCCCCGCCGGAAGCCAGGCAGCCGTCACCGGGCTGGCACCGCGTCTCCCCAAGCCCAGCCGAACCCCGCCACTCATCTGACTCCCGCCACTGGCTGGGCCGACTCGACCGGATGTGAATTACATGGCCAGCGCTGTCCTGAGCGCAGGGTGAAGCATGTTTGTACCGAGGCTCTCCTCTCCGTCTGCGGACGCGATCCGGGACGGCCACCGCGAAGGCGACCTCTGGGTAGCCGGGGGCTAAGCTGGAGCACACGCCGAATACCCCCGCTCCCGCGCGGCCGGGACCCGAGCCGTGGCGAGAAAAGCCCGCGCATGCCCCGCTCCGAGAGGCTGACGTCATTGTGTCAATAGCTTTCTCCGGCGAATTACCGCCTGGTGACGAATGCACCGGATTGACGGCACGGCGTCCGCGGCGCTCACGCCGGGCGGAAGTAGCACTCGGGCGCGCTGACTGGCCGGCCGGGGTGACGCACCAGACAGGTTACGTCGTCCATGATGTATCGCGCCGACGTGACCGGGCGCGCCGCCCGCACCTCACAGCCGCGGTCCCGCGGACGTGCCGCTGAAGGCTCGGGAGGGGGGGGGGGGGGGAGGCGAGCACAGAACCGTTCCTTTGCCGCGCCCAGCGGCTGGCTCAAAACTGACCCGATCCGGCCAATCACATTTCATAGTTGTGTTAACCCTACAGTTTCCGTGTTTGTGCTTAGTCTTATCATATTTCGCGATTAGTGCGTTAATGTTTTGTTTGTTGGCGCAATGGATTGCTCCCGTCTCTGTTTGTGTCAGCTCCTCGATCTCGAACGGTACCACGACGGCCACATTGCGTGTCACAGTGCCATTCAATCCCATTATCATGCATTGTTTTGCAGTGTTATTCAATGGATAAACAGCGAAGCGAAGCTCTGTTGCGACTCACACCGCCCACTCCCCACGGCCGCGGTCCAGCGGACGTACCGCTGAAGGCTGGAGGCGGCGGGGGGGGGGGGGGGAGGGGGAGGCGGGCAGAGAACCGTGCCTCCGTTACTAGAACCGAGGCTCAAGACTGACCCGTTAGCTAAATCAGCGGTAATTTTCAACGACGTCAAAGCAGGTGATCACAATAACTGCATTGCTCGGCTGAAGCGAGATTCTCTGGGAATCTGCCCCTTGACTTGGACAGCCGGAACCCAGTTGTTTCCAAAGCACATTCCGCCGAAACAAGCGTCACGTATAACCAAAGGTTGTGACACTGTGACACTGCGGCATATTCTGCGGAACACCCGCCTGGAGAGAATGATGCATGGCGCCCGAGCAGAACCCCGGGTATGTTGTCAGCGAGTGAGGGATGAGCGGTCCGATGGCTGTACGTCCTCACCAATCCCAGCGAAGACAAATTCAGGCGGTGCATTGGCCTTGAATATATATTTAGGTCTTGTGACGTTGGCAGCCATCACACTGGATGTTGAGGCGCTTGTAGACGCTTACTTTTGGCGGCGGATATTGCTGCCTGTCATGAATCTTTCATTTTATGCAACGTTCGGGGCGAGCGGTCCATTCATGGGGTTTTGTCACCGGTTGGTAGCCTCACTGGTCAACTGGAGCCGAGCTGCATTTTGCCGTGCATGATTGTGGTCTAGAGTTGAAAAAAGTGTTCCTGTCCAGCGGGCGTACTTCTTTTCAATATGGTATACAGATTAAACGCATCATCAATACGATAGCGAATATCTAAAAGTACAGCACGTTAGAAATCAACACGTTTAACGTCACTCAAACGCATTACTCTCTTGCGGGTATTGTTCTGTGTTACTCGCCGTGCAAGAGGCGGACGATGGCACCGGCGGCCTTCAGGCCCCTAGTCGGCTGCCACCACGCGCAGACGTTGCGGCACTGGAAGAGGACCCAGTCACGACACTGTCGCCAGGCCCGCGTGTACATGACGCAGCGCTCTTCGTGTCGACTCCGGGCGACACGCCAACGCATCAGAAACACATCACCCATGCTAATAGCTGAGGCGCGGAAACAATGGTTTAGTCGCCTGATCCTGGCGTATCTGCGCGCCTCGCCGCCGGGCCGGGTCCAAGGTCAAGGCGCCGGTCCGGTGTCCGCCGGGCCAGCGGCGGACACCGGCGGACACCAGCCACCGGCGCTGACAGCTGCCGGCCCGTGGCGGCTCCGTAAATTGGGTGGCGGTCAGCGGACCGCGCCGGCGAGCGCTGCTGGTGAGATAGCCTGTTGTGGTGTGACGGCGTGTGGTAGGTGCGACAGCTCACCGCTTTTTCCGCGGGTTGTGGGCGGTGCTGAGGCTTGACGCAGGTGTGGGCGCCGGTGCGATTGTTCACATGTGAGAGACGCTGCACCTCTGTGTGAAGACAGACGCACAGTCCTTCCACATTACACAGAAGACATCAGGTGGGGTGGCGAAGTAATTGGGCTGCGTCGGGACGAACAGCGGGCCGCGCCGTGTACAAGCCGCCGTCGTCGGCAGAGGGGGGGGGGGGGGGCAGGTGGTGCAGCTCTAGACCGTGGCCGGCCGGGATGGGAAAAAGCACGGATTTCCGCCAGCTGCAAGGCGGCAGGTGGGACGCTCCTGAGCCTCTTGTACTCGCTCTATACCTTTCAAGGCACTCGTGGAAAAACCAGGGCCCGGGACGAGACAATAGGCTTCCAGATCGGAATGGAAAGGCTTTCAATAGTAGTATTTGCTTGTCTTATCCCGGGGCAGTGGCCAACAACTTTGTAAAAAAAAAAACACTGCTGTAAATGTGTGCCGCCGCGTTCACTTTGTTCAGTGTGTGGAGTTAAGCGCTAGATGATAATGCAGCGCGTGCCAGCGACTCGTGCGTCGATTCTGTCAGCTCAGTCCACCAGCCATGTGCCGAATGAAAAGAGGGCGGTAGATGACGTACGAAAATGACGCTTTACTAGAAACTTGATTTGGGAAATGCTGGAAAATGCATGAGACCTTGATTGTCTGCTTACAGTCGGGAATTTTGTGTTGCGACAGTCATTGCTAGATGAATGGGGTGCTAGTGATCAGGTACCTCAGTTAGGGTGCTCGTCGAAGTACCCAGGTACCTCCTCCCGACATAGACAAAACGTGGAAAGATACCTTGAAACGCTGCGTAACAGATCAACTTGTGCTGTGTACTGGGTATAAATTGTTTTGTGGGAAAACTCCACAATGAGGAAATAATTTTCAAAGCTCTGAACTAAAGAAAGACCTTGGGATAACTTATGACGTCCCGACCCGCTTTTTTAAGGAGAACAAACCATTAACTTCAGGTGCTGTCGATGGTTGGTTGTCTTCGGCTCAGGGAAGCACAAATGAAGCAGGCATAAACATGAAGCTGGTCGTTGCTGAAGCGAATCAGGTCATGGCCAGCACACGGGACCGCTACGCCAGCGGCAGGATGGCGGCAGGACCATTTGGCTGCCACCGATCGTCCGTACCATTCCCTGAGGCTTCATCCAGCTTTGCCGATGAGCCTGAGGCTCGAGGTAAAGCTGATGGGCCACCTCCTGTGGGGAGGCCGCGAGTCGCCAGCTGCCCAGGTGCGACACTGGTGACCCGTGACCCTTGGTGACCTATGGGTGAGCACGCAGTCTCTCACCCTCACCGCACCTCACCCATGCTCTCGCCAGGGCCTGTGCCCCCGCCGTCCCCTCGTCATCCGATCGGTCGGAGGCCGGCCGCCCCTGACCCTGACCTGCGGCGGCCGGCCGCCCCCGGCCCGGCGCCGCGTCCGGGCCGGCCTCGTGTTGACATGAGCCGTCGGGCTGAGATCACCGGGGCCACGTTACGAGCGCGTCGCAGCGGCGGCGGCGTGGTCCGCTGCTGACGCATCCACCACACGTCACCGACGCCGACGTCACACACCGATGGCTCCTGCAATCAATGACATCGATGCCGCTGGTCGCACGCTGGCACCGGCAGTCGGCTCAGGAGGTTGTTTGTGACGGATAAGCCCTTAGCGAAACCCGGCTCGAAGTCAGGAACAGTGTAAACTGGCTCCAGTGCACTGAAAGACCATGCAGAGAGATTAATCATGACGCTGAGTTGAACGACTTGATTTGAACTGTAAGTAATGATTCATGGATTCCAGCAAGGAATTTCAATTTTTGCCAGCGCCACAAAACCACCAGTTCGGTAGGCGGATGGCGAAGCCTGCAAACGTACGTTGCAGTGGGTTTGGCCTTTCACTCGAGCACGGCTAAATTATTCTTAACCGCCTTAACCTGCTGGACGACCGTCGACACCCAGTCTTGCTATTGTGGAATGTTGTAGTAGCATGTAGCACAGATATGGTAGTAGATGACAAAAGTGGTAGTAAATGTTGTATGTTGTAGTAGAATGTAGCACAATGTAGTAGAATATAGTGTAACACGGAACGTCGTAGTAGAATTTGGCATAGGTGTAATAGTAGATGACAGAAGTAGTAGTAGATGTAGCCGCATTAATGTAAGGGGGGGGGGGGGCACAGCTTCCAGCTGACTGGAGCCTACAGCCGCCCGGCACTGCCTGTCGCTTCATCGAGAAGTGCTCTGGTAACCGAAGCCGGGTGCGCGCGTGCGGCGCACTGACATTTATCCCGCTTCGCTTCGTCGCCGAGGGGTTGTCGATTCGCTGCCATTGATCTGGGAGCTTGACCATTTGATTCACACCGTGCCGTTGTGCAAATAATTTCAAATTCGATACAATGCAGCGATATTATGTTGTTTCAAGATTTACCACGTGGAACTGAAGTGTTCACTGTCATGTTCACGCTACTTTTAATGCGAACTTGATGCAAGTGGTAAAAACGATGTGTGATGCCATTGGACCCATCGTGCAGCACTGTTATATTACTTTTAATATAACAGTCCTTGGATTGAGGGCCTGGACTTGCAGGTTGTATACCAACACCGGTTCCGTCGACATCAGTACACATCTTCTAGTGCAGATAATCGTCACACGAGGGGACGCAATCTTTCTAGCTAGCCGCAGGCTGCTAATGCAATCAAACCGGTGGCTAGACACACGTAGAGGTTAAACGATTATCCAGTAGGTATAATGTGTCCGTATCGCTAACGGTAGTGGTACAAAAAGTTCATGAACGTCGGAAGCATGCCATTCCATTTTAAATGGCTCTTCTTTTTCACCTTGACAGCCTGTAACAGTTGGGTGGATTTCCACCAGCGGCCGATTTTCTCTGAAGCTGCTGGCGCCTGTTTGTATCTGCCGTCCTTCAGCGTCGAGACTGTGCAGTACGGGGACGCCTCGCCCCGTGAGCACCGGTACAGCGCTGTCTGCATCAGATACGCCATAACGAGACGTGAGGTGACACTTCGCGCCTCGCGGAACCGGTCTTCCGCGCTAGCGGTCTGGAGGTCAACCCCGTAAAGGCGCGGTCACGGTCTTGACGGCCGCGGCTAGTGATGTCGGATGTGGGCAATTGCAATGTTTTTCACGAACTGGTGCCGATTTGCATGTGGCAGTCGCGTTAGAAAATGTCCGGTTTGGCTGTGAGTCCAAGAACTTGATTTCTAGAATGCGTAATAAATGGCGCGAGAGCAAATTGCATTTTCTGCCCATTCATCCAATGAATTGTCAACTTGCTTCATGAGCGCGCTGAAATTATGTTTAAATGTTCAATGCAATGGTCCAGGTCCAAGAAGTTGACAAATCTTGTTCAGCTTGCAAAATTATTTTGAGCTTTGATTCTCATTCCAGCAACCAAGAAAGGGCAACCGCTGGCACAACACCCGTTGTTTAGTTCTCGTTCAGCAGCTCCGCCTACACTGAAGAAACAAGAGGTTCTCGCTTGCTCAGCCGCGCCGAGAGGAGACGCCCTGGCGTCAATAGCTTCGACGCTAACGATGTAGCGTTGACTCGCGTCTCAGCAACATGAAATGGGTCTCGGATAACACTGATGTACAGCTAGAATTATCTCCGAAACCCGGTGAATTTGAAACAAATTTCTGCATAATGGCTCAATAGCTAGTGCATCCCTAATGAACTATGGAACCATGCTCCCGTGTCCCCCTCCCTGTGCATCCTGAAGGGTGCCCACTTCCGGGAAGACCTGCCTGTTATCTGCTTACCGCACGGCAGATTTGTTCAACAGAACCAGCAGCGCACACAAGCGCAAAAACTAATTGGCATGTCATGATTGAATCGTCCTTGGAGCATACAATAAATCGGGACGAAAAAACGGCCCACCGAACATCAACACGCCGGCCGTAATTGCCTCCATCGTCAGTTGACACGCAATGCGGATAGCATGCGCAGCACCCAGAGCAGTTCGAACTGGGGCCGGTGCGCCCCGCGGGGGAGACGGTCACGCCCCAGCACCCGGAATATGTCGAATTTGACGATGCGCTCCGCGGGGGAGACGGTAACGCCCCAGCACGCGGAGCAGGCCGATCTGGAGCCGGTGCGTCCCGCTGGTCAGGGAGCCGGCCACGCCCCAGCACGCGGAGCAGGCCGATCTGGGGCCAGTGCGTCCCGCCGGTCGGGGAGCTGGCCGGTGTGTCTCGCCGGTTGGGGAGCCGGCCACGCCCCAGCACGCGGAGCAGGCCGATCTGGAGTCGGTGTGTCCCGCCGGTTGGGGAGCCGGCCACGCCCCGGCTTCCCCTCTGCGGAGCGGCGGCACCGCGCAGGTCGCGTGGGAACTGGCGCGATTGCGGCACGCCTCGTTCGTAAAACGGAGAAGAAGTCTCGGAACTCTCGCCTTATCGAGCCCAGTAACGTGTTTGGACTGACTTATCTAGTGCGGTCGCATACATCTGGGGAGATTGCATGACGCATCGAAACGTGTTTTCTCGCAAAAACACGGCGTTGATCCGTCGCTTTCTGGAGATAAGACGCACTCTATCTTGTCGTCGATGTTTTTTAAGTTGCTTTTTGACAATTCGTGCATGAGAACTGTGGACACGGCGCGTTACGTTGACAATAATATGATTAGACGTCACTGCATGTTAGCTGAAAGCCACACAAGCAGACATGCTTTGCCTTTGCCGTCGAAATCGCGGTATATCTCGTTTCCGTTGTGACTAGGGGCTAAGACAGACTAAATGGATCCTTAATTGTTATGCAATCATTTCCGAATCTAAACCAGGCGTAAGCCCGCTTAACCGATCCGACATAGGTAGCGGTCGAATCAGGGCGTGACGTCGCAAAATAAGCTAGGGTGTGGGTAGGGGAGAGAGCAGGTAAAATGGTTAAGCCTTCCCCAACATACACGAAAAAGGGGTTCTCCCCGAAATCGACCCTCTTCCTTCTCGAGGTGTGACGGTAGTGGTTGATGTGGGAGGGGGATGAGGGAGGTAGACAACTGAATCAAAAACTGCATTTTTGAACCGAACATAGTCTTTCAGTATTTTATCTTCCTTGAGTGGATCCGAAAATCTGCTGGCCTATATGGAGGCTGTACCACGGATTTGCGGTTGGGAGAACGCAAAGTTTGGTAAGTCGCTTCCTTCCACGGGATGTGATAGATGCCGTGTTAACTCCTGCGCAATTGGAGACAAGTGACATCATCACGTACGTCGAAATGTGGGTTGCGCTGCGGGTTCGCTGGATCGCGGCTCTCACCTGGTGACGACACACAAGGGTCTTGTTTCCCTCCGTGTGGGGGTGCTGGCCGCTCTGTCAGTGCTATATTGTCCGTGTTTCTTGGCTCACCTCACCTGTGTAGCACACGTCGATGGAATCGCTTGTGCTCAAGCAGCGCAGTGTGCCGCGTGCTCGTCTACAACGCCGCTCCAGCCATGTGTCGGCCGTTTCAGGGCGACTCGCAGGATTTCATCGAGCTGCTGGCGCGGCTGCAGAACAGCCGGCTGGACGACCAGCGCTGCGTGCTGCCCGCCTACTTCAACGCCTCGGTGAGTACGCGGCTCACGAGCCGGAGTCCTCCGGCTCGGTGCCGGTCCCGGTCCCGGTCGCGGTCCCGGTCCCGGTCCCGGTCCCAGTCCCGCTCCCGCTCCCGGGGGCGTGAGGCCCGGCCCGGCCTGGCGGGTCGGGTTTTCACTTCAGTGACTCGGGACGCACGGGCGGCGTGAAGGCGGTGACGCTAATAGCCGGCATAGTTAGCGCGACTCCGTGAAGGTATCTGCCGCGTGGATAGCCGGACGCGTATGGATGTCGTTTATCCCCGGGCCTTGTCTCTGGAGGCTTAATGGATGTCCTCGGTGGCCCGCTCAGACAGCGGAAGCTATTGTTCTCCTCCGCTTGCTCACGTTAGGGTTCTGGCGGCCCCGCGAACCTCCCGAATTGAAAATGACAAGATGATGCGGAAGGCTTCGCTCCTGCGCCTTTGTCCGGCTTATCAAGATGTGTAATGTGACATTTGCCGAGCAAAACCATTGATAAATCGAAGGAGGTCAGAAGGTTAAAAAGACTGCGACTGACTTCTCCCGCTTTGTATGGAAACCAGGGGCCCGTGTCGTTTGACAACGGGCGTTTCCCGGTCTTTGGAATGTCCCAGTTGTCAGATTCCCCGTGTCGATTATCGGGTATTTGTTCGGGCATGTTAAACGGGTTGTTTAGGGTTGTAGGGTGGTATTCAGTCTTAAGCGTCATGGCCATTGACGTTGAATGATCTGTCGCGATTTTCGGATGGCCTGTGCGAAAGTGTCGGGTGGTTTGTCCCGGAATGTTGGATGGTCTGTCCAGAAGTGCCGGATGGTCTGTCCCGGAATGGTGGCTGGTCTGTCACGAAATGTCAAATATCCTGCTCCTGAATGTCGGATGGTCGTCAGTCCGGAGCATCGGATGGTTTGTCCCTGAGTGTCGGATGGTCTGCCGCTGCGGGTGCATGGTGGAATGGTCTGTCGCTACGGGTAGCGGATGGTCCGTGCCGGAATGCCAGACGGGCTGTCTCGGAACGCCGGTCTTTCCCGGATCCCGGACTGTCTGATGGCCCGTCTGTGGTCTGCCCGGGATCGCTTCCTCCCACCCCACCGCCGTCGGGCGGCCCGCAAGCTTGGTTGAATCACCGCCTGAGGGCGCTGCCGGCGGCGGCTCGATCCGGCCCGCCCCGCCGCCGCTCCCTCCGTCGCTGCTCGGAGCGCCAGGCGGCTGACCCCGGGTCCGACCCGACGTCTAGCATCGCTGCAGCTGGCCGGCACACCACCTGTCCGCGGGGGTTGCGTCGCTACTTTCGCTGTGTGCTGCTGACGAGGTTCGGACGGGTCGGCGCGGCGCACCTGCGGGCTGTCGACGCTGCGGCCATCTGCGGCTCTTTCTCTCTCACACACTCGTCAGCGGCGGACCGCGAGCCTCGTGTCTGATGTATGCGGCCGCCCGGCGCCGCCGGTCGCACGTCACGTGTCGTAACACGGCGGGGGGTGGCCAGCCGGCATCTGTTTTCATTACGCGCCGGCCGACCACACGTGATTCAGCTCGGCGCGCGCCATCGGGAAATAAATGACGCCGGCTGTCACGAACTGTTGGTGGGAGGCGTGTCCTCGACCTCGTTCTTTCGGCGGCTACCTCTGCCAGCGCTGCGGTTATTCAATCACCTGTATTGGATTGCCGCTCGCTCCGCCCGACCCGTTCTCGTTTTGCCGTCATTTGTAATCGCCCAGCTTAGCAGTCCTCAGCCCATCAGCCTGTGTCACATTATGTCGGACATTGCGTCGCCTGAGTAGGAAAGCGACATGGCATGCGCCAGCCGTAAGTCACATCTATGACCTTGAACTTACGACGACGTAACAAATTAATACGTACATTTGAAATTTCGCCCGCGGACTTCGCAGCTTTTCACTTTCCACCTTTGTCATCCCGCCTATTACCATTTCAAATCGTCAGCTTGGAGAGTGAATTACCTTTGAGTGTAAAAACATTTTAATGGGATTGGTTGTGTTTTAACAAGCGTGAAAGTAATTGTTACCGTCCCTCGTGGTGAGCGTACGTCAGTGCAGGATTGCATCACGGCCACCCCATGTGGCCTTCTCGGGGGGTGGAGGAAATGAGGACAGGTCATTTGGCTTCGCGTGTCATGGTTGTGTCCCAAGCTGTTTGAATGCATCATGCCAGAGGTTTTGCCAATACTCTGTTATGAGGAGGATCAAGATTAGCTAACAGTAATTGCACTATTCCAGGCGGTCACCCATAATGAGGTGATATGTGTCGTTGTCATGCTAGCGTGAATCGAATACACCGGCCTGTGTGACAGCTAGGACGGTGACAAACGCGGTAGTACCGAAGCGCAGGCCCTTTGTAGGAGGTTTTCACGATCTTCAGTTTGTGTCGTTGTCTTGTAGTGCAAATACCTTTAAAATGCTGTTTCGCTGAAAATGTCATTCTCATGTTGCAATCGATTTATGGTCTTGTCATGGCACAGAATGTTTGCAAATCAGCCCAGCTTTAGCGAATATGAAGGACGTTGTGTTATACAATTAGTGAAGTTGTTTCGTGTAAACCACTGCGACTTTTGAAAACCGGTTTTACCATTGTCGCTATCGACGGCGCTGCCATACTTTTTGTTAAGTTTTCATATTACTATTTGGTGTCAGGGTCTTCAGCAAATATCGGCCGCTGCGAATACTCCGAAGGTGCCATCCACGCAGAGGAGCCTCAGCTGAATGGATAGTTCAACCAATATAGGAAGTACCATATCATATTCTAGCACCACTGCTCCTTGCTGGCCTGAATTTCTTCGGATATTTGCCTTTCGGACGCCATTGACAAACCGCATGATCGAGGTGCTTCTCCTGTAGTTATAGTCTGTTGTGCTAGTAGTCAGGTATCTGACGCTCTACCAAACAGTACAATAGCGTATCCCTCACATACACCATAGCGCCTTTCAATATTTTACTGGGTTTTTTCAATATTTGTATTGTATTTATGCTTACTAAAATTATTTCCCCTTAGTATCTATATACGCTGCGTGCGTAGCTAGCGCACGCACACACACACACCATACATGCACGCGTTCACCTACGAGTTCGCGCATAGTCAGGCTCGCATTTGCCCTCTCCAGGTCCGAGCCTGGCGTATATTATAGCGCCGCTATTTCGCTATGGTTTCGCCGCCATGCCTTGACTGCCATTTCTCTGCATGCATGAGTGATGCGACGAGGGGTCGACCGAGCCGAGGATGGTTATCGGCATTCATGGATGCCGCTCGCCGGCGCCATGGGTGCGTTCTGTGGTCATGAATTACCGGCTTATTTATCCACTAGCTCAACGTTAAGCCCGGCGGAGGATGTGTGGCAAGACGAGCGCTGGGTGAATTACTGACCCGGGTTTCGCAGCCTGTTGGGTAGAGACGTGCCATCACTGGTTATCATTCCACGCCGTGACGTGGGTGGACGGTGATGGGTTAATGGGCGGGTTTCGTCGAATCGGAATCAAGCAGTTGAGGTCAGTGGTGGGCCAAGTTCAACGCTGGTGGTCTGGTCTAATCAGAAGTCATCGATGTTGGTCATGTCTGGTATGCATCGATGCGACACCTGTACGGATCCGAATCCATTAGTCGTATCCAGATCCGATCTGAAGCGGTCCCTCACTGCCAGGCCTCAACATGGATCATTCAGTGTTGACCTAGTCTAATTTGAATCAAGCATAATGACCAAGTTTGATATCTAAATTAATTCCAGTACCAGTGTTTCAGTGGGATTTGTCAGTGACTCACAGTCATCTTCAGGCCAGGCTTCTGGGGCCAAATACTGCGGGCATTATGCTCACCACAGTCGGTGATTACAAGCAAACACAGCTACCGATTCTGCACTAGATTTGCCGCTGCTGTTCTCGCATTTAAATGCGTTTCTGGTACAGAATTATACAAGCATTTGAGTATTTTTCGGACCTTAAATGCTGGGTCCACTCATTAAGCCTTAATGTACGATCGCCTGGGAAGTTGAAAGAATCCGGCCCACTTACACAATTTTCGCACAAAACATTTTCCAAACCAATGACAAAAGGTCAGGTCACCCGAGGTCGCGATAGGTAATCCTCCCTGGAAGGCTTGTGTGTGTGACCTGATCTGACCTTGAACTTTCAATATCGTTAGCGTGACTTGCACCTTCACTGAACGAAGACAACGTTTGTTTTGATGTCAGCTTCAAACTTAAGTAGGCATTTTTACGGATGCTACAATGCCCCGAAGTTGACACATGGTTTGGATTATTTGTGAGGTAGTTAACGTCGTCCGTTACGTCATCAGTCATGGCCCAGATATCAACATAATGTTTTTTGACGTAAAAATGACAAGAGCAATCGACTTTCTTTACAATTTCTGCGGTCCGATAATTAGATACTGAGATAATAGGCAGGGCTTCAATTAACCTCCAGGCGGCGACGGCTGGCGCAACACCTTAAACAGCACCGGGCTGAAATATGCCACGGGGTAACTAAAACACTGCCGCTGAGCCTCCGTAAAAATGTTTGGGATTGGTATGTTCTGAATCCTACCGCGCACGCGTCATTCAGCCAGGCTCATCGAAACATGACGGCAGTTTGGATCAAAAGTGCCGGAAGTTCAAACGAATTGCCAAGGTGTGTCGCTTAGCAACGATGGCCTCAGTAGTAACTGGCGGGTCAGGCAGTGGCAATGTTAAGTGAAGATCTTTCACGCACAACTCGGATTTCCGGTCCTTTCCTGACCACTCGTGTTCAGGACCGAGTGTTTTGTCCCGAATGAATTTCATATGAAACGAGTTTTAAATATCCGAAAAAATGTTGGGACTTGTTACATTTTGAAAGGTTGAAGCTAGTCGCATACTTGTTCATGTCATAGGCATTGCAATGCCGTCAATATAAACACACAGGTGCTAAAATCTAACCAGCAGTTTTCGAACTGGTTTGGAGCTATCTTTGTAACACGTTGCTAGGATTTAAAAGGATTATGCCTGTAAGGAAAGTTTCACTTTCACGGAGTA